CATTAATTTGGACTCTAATCCTCCTCTCGAAGAGTCCCAATTATGTAAAAGCATAAAAGACTGAGCATAAGGTTTTTCATCTCATTTGCCTTGTCGTTGGCAAAACAATTCCAATTGTACCAAAATATGATAATTAAGAGATCCATTTAGTGGCGACCTTTCTCCAGAGCCTAAAACATACATAGTCCACATATTATTGCAATAGAGCATCATTCCTTTCTTAGTCATGGGTGCATAACTGAAAACTGGCCAGTCTTCCATAATACAGCCCAAAGGACTTTGATCTGGAAAGAGGAGAAATTACATGTTATTAGTTTCACTTTCACATTCACACACAGAAAAGTCAAACACCCAGAAGAAGCACTTCCAAACAAACAGACAAAATGCTGGTTTCTATGTCTTACAGCTGTTTCCAAACATCAAACTAGCTCATAAACAAACAGTGCAGGCAAACGGCTTCTGATGTGCACACCGAAACAGCCACATACCAAACAGAGCACTCCTCCAGACGAATAGTTGGTCTGAGTTTCAACAAGTCATATTCCACGCTAATGGTACCTTTTCCTAACAAACAGTGTGAGTAGAGGACTTCAAGCCTGCATGCTGGGGCAACTTACCCAACCCTAGAGTCCGTCAACTCCCACAAAAGAGTGCATTGGCTTCCACAGTAGAGCCCATTGGCTCCCACTAAAGAGCCCATCGGCTCCTCACTAACACTGCTTTTCTTCACCATCCAAAAGGCAGGGAATAGGTGGTCGATGCCATTGCTGGAATTCGGAGAGCCTTCCCCAGAATAAACAAGGTCCGACAGCTGCTGGGAGGGATACCTAGATGCCCAGCCTCGGGGCCGACCCACCACGGGCAGATGGCACCATAGGTGAACACAGCCTCTCTCCCACCAAAGTGAGTGGGCTAGGCCTCCCAAGGCACTCAACTCCTGGCTCGGCTCACCAAAATCTGTTGCTGGACTCAGGTCCGGCTGCCTGCCCCCTTGAAAAGGAAAGAAAAAAACTCAGAAGTCAAACAGTTGGTGTTAGAAAAGCAGATGTATTCAGCTGAAGGAGATGGTAGGCTACCCCATCTCGAAGATTTACATTTTTTTTTTTTTCCTTTTTTTTGTCTTTTTTTCAGTGTCGCGCCTGTACCGGACCAGGACCGGCAACGGGATCGCAACCCTCGGTGTTGTGCCCGCACCTCGCTCAGCCAGTGAGCGGGAACTGGTCTGTATGTGGGATCCGAACCCTCGGCGGGAGCGCCACCGTGCTCCCAAGCGGCGCACTGTAGCAGTGCGCCACTGGGCCGGCCCTCGAAGATTTACATTTACTGAGGGGTTTTTAAAGGAAGGGTTGAGGGAATGGAATGTGGGAGGTGAAAAGCAGGAGAGCAGGAGATGTGAGTTATGAGGGGTCTGTTTCTATGGGTCAGGTACAAGGTCTTGCCAAAATTTCATCTGGTTTCTGTTCTCATCTTCGCTGTTATCTCAGGACCCTGCAAGATTTTGATTTGCGCCGGTATACTTGGCTAGTGCCCAAGGTCAGCTTCAGTCATTTGGCCTTGATCTTTTCTCAAAACTCTACAAGTCTCAAAGAAAGAACTGTTAGCTTTGCAAAGTACTAATTAGCTTCTTGGCCTTGTTTTCCTACTTACTGAGCAAGATAAGAAAGTCAGGGGATGGGAAGCAAGAGTGGAAGGAAACTGTCCTTTTAACGCCCCCCCACCCCCACCGGCCCAGGCAGCTTTAGGTCCCAACATGGCTTCATTCCTGCTCACTCCAACACCTACAGGTTAAGGGCTAAGTCCCATAAGACTGTCCCCAGTTCAGACGTCAGTCACAAGTCCTGGGTTGCCACCTGTATTTCTGACCTGCTGGCTGTACATTGAGGGTTTCTACAACCCCCTCCTCAGTTTTGATAATTTTCTGGAACAGCTCACAAAACTCAGGAAAACACTTTGCTTGCATTTACCAGTTTATTATAAAGGACACAACTTGGGAACAGCCTAATGGATAAGATGCATATATGGCAAGTTATGGCGTAGGTGTGTGGAGCTTCCATGCCCTCTCTAGTGAGCCACCTCCCAGCACCGAGATGTGTTCACCAACCTGGGAGCTCCCTGGGAACCCCATTGTTTAGGTTTTTTTATGGAATTTCCATTACATAGGCATGGTTGATTGAATCACTGGCCACTGGTGAGTAAATCAGTGTCTAGCTGCTCTCCCATTCCTGGAGGTCAAGAGATGGGGCTGAAAGTTCCATCCCTCTAATCATGCCTTGGTCTTCCTGGTGATCAGCCTCCGTCTTGAAGCTATCTGGGGGCCCCCAGTCACTAGTCATCTCATTAGCATACAAAAGGCACTCGTCTCTGGAGATTCCAAGGGTCTTAGGTGCTATGTGCCAGGAACCCGGGACAAAGACCAGATATGTATATATTTATTGCAATGTCCAAAACTGAGTTTCTGGTTTCCTCTTTCTCCTGCAACTTTCTCCACCTCAGTAGGAAGCATTTCCATCCTTCTAATTGCTTGGGCCAAAAACTTTAGAATTATTCTTGACTTTTTTCCTTTTTGTGCACCCCACAGCCAGTTCATCAGTAAATCTGCTGGCTTTACCATCAGAACACTTGTGACCACTTCTGCTCCAAACACTCTGCTCCAAGCCACCCCTGCATTTCATGTGAATTGTGAATTTTTCAGTAGCCTCCTAAACAGTTTCTGCTTAATCCCCTGCCTTCTACAGTCTATTTTCAACCTAGCAGCCAAATGAACCTTTAAAAATGTTGGTCCATGATGCTTATCTTTTCAAATCCAGTAGCATCCCCCCCAATTTCCCAAAACCCGACAAGGCCTTTTCTTATCAGGATGTGGGTGATCTCTCTGACCTCATCTCCTGCCACTTTCCCCTGCCCAGGAGGCTCTAGATGCACTGGCCTCTTACAACTGCTGAAGGGCCTTTGCACTTGCTGTTTGTTCCTTGCCTGGAACACTCTTCTGCAAAGTGTCTGCATGGCCCACTCCCTAGGTTCCACCACATCTATACTCTAATATCACCTAATCAGTGAAGCCTTTCCTGACCACATTTATTTTTATTTTATTTTTTTTGTGGCTGGCTGGTACTGGGATCTGGGATCTGAATCCGTGACCTTGGTGTTATAAGACTGTGCTCTAACCAACTGAGCTAACCAGCCAGCCCTCTGACCACCTTTGATAAAGTAGCAACCCTTCCCTGCACTCCATCCTGGCCCTCTCTGTCTCCTTACTCTACTATTTTTTTCCCCAGAGCATATTATACTTGTTTTTTCCCCTATGGAATGTAAGCTTCATGAAGGTGAAGACTTCAATCTGTTCACTCCTATGCCTCTAGCACGTGGACTAGTGGACTTGTGGTTCATTCCCTTCATTTCACAGATGGGAAAACAGGGAGAAAGGAGTGAGCACATGGGTGATGCTCAACAGATGGCTGACTATCTAAGACAGTGTCTTCATCTTTGTCTTTGCTCTTCCTGTTTTGTCTCCATAGTAGTATTAGCAGCTGCCATACTGTACATTCACATTCGTTTATGGTCTGCTTTCCCGACAGAAAGTTAGATTTTATTCTTTCTGTATCTCCTGCATCTAGAACAGAGCCTGGCACATAGTAGTTGCATGATAAATGTTTGCGGAGTGAATTAAGATTAAGTGGGCTGGATGGGATTGAGTAGTGGTTGAGGGTGTCCTTGTTCCCCTATCCCATTGTTTTTCAAATGCTGGGTGCATCACAGTCTTAGGAAAGGAGATTGTTAAATGTACCAAGACTTGAGGATATGAACTGTTGACAAACAAAGAGTTATCCATTAGAAAGAGACCCTCATTATATAGAATGTTCCATATTGCTTGGATTGGTGGGAAAGCTAGATGAAATGCAGTTGCTTTGGAGCCATGCCTTCCATTCAGCTATCCCTAATGCATCTAATCCACCTTTTCTCCAACACCACACCTGTTTCTTTCTGTCCCCCTTCCCTAAGACTTCCTCTTTGGTTCAAGGCTGTGTTCATACCTCTTGTTTCCCAAATTGACCTTCTTACCTAAATTCATAGCAGGTAGCAGGTTTTGTCTTGTTTCCCAGCATTTAGGGCCTCTGTAAAACTCTAAAAACAAAGGCTAGAAGAGAAGTTGAGGCCCATCTAGTGCTGGGGGTCTGAGATCCATCAAGAGCAAGGGATGCCCTTCACACTAGGCTGAACTGTTTGTGAGACATCTTCTCATCTGCCAGCCATTTGATGGTCACAGAAGCCTGGCTAGGGGCAGGCAGCAGCTGCTGGGGTTGTTTTTCAAATGGAGAAGCCAGTCTTCTTGGGGGAACAGAACTTCCTCCCATTTCCCATTGCTGGAATGCGTCTCAGGTGGGCCTTGAGCGTTGGTCTTCTGGGTATTCTGGGTGGTATGATGGAAAGCAGTTTTGCTGGTGACTCAGCCAACGTTTCCCAGTGCTTCCCATGGGCCTGGGTCTCAGAATCACGGACTCACAGGCTGGGATTGTCAAAACGTCCTGCTCTGTGATTCCACTGCGTGACCTTGGGCAAATCGACCCTGTCTCCTGCTTTCCGCATCTGAGAAATGAAGGAAATAAATATTAGCCTTTTGTTTATGTTTTTTCTTTTGTTTATTTTTAATGTTTCATATTCTGTGTCCCCAAATCTAGGGTCAAACCCAGGGCTCCCAAGTTGGCCTTGGGTGAATCAGTTACCTGAATTTCTCTCCTCACCTATAAAATAGGCTGACATCTCCAGCCTTAGCTTAGCCCACAGGGCCCTTTTAAGAATCAGAATAATAATTGTGAAGGGGATGTCAAGTGTAAAGGTTATATAAAAATGAATTCTTAAGTCAGTTTTTGGTCCTCACAATATCCTGGAGGAAGGCAGGATAAGAATTATCCTAATGAACATCAGTAGTCTTTTGTTTATGCTCTGCTGACGGAAGGCTTTGATTTAAAATTGTAAACAGTGATTCAGATTTCTTCCCTCAGGGCTTAAAGAGGACATGTGTGACCATGGACCAGGAACGCCCACGCTCTGATCTCAGCATAAACAGCAGAAATGATCTTCGCAAGGTTTTGCATCTTGAATTTCTCTACAAGGAGAACAAGGTACATGCTTTTAAGTTGTGGTGTGGAGTTCTGGAACTGGGTTTCGCCCTGCTAGTGGTGGCAGGAGGTTTGGGGAGCTCCCCACCTGCCACATCTGCAGTCAGGGAGAAAGGGACCCAGCCAAGTGCTGACAAGTCCCCAGTGTGAGTGGGTTTTCAGCCCAAGGGTGTGTTGTGTGTGTGCGGTTGCGAGGCTCATTGTGAATGGAGCCTGTGGCTGTACCCAACCTCCCACACTTAGTCCCTGTGCTCCCTCCTCCCCACACAAGACTATTTTTAGTAACACTGGGCTTAAGAATATAGTATCTAGTTATGCTAAAATTTTCCATTCCCTTTCTGCCTAAGATTTTCCTTCTTCAGTTCTGAGTAATACCTTAGTCTTAAGTCTGCAGTGACACATAATTCAGCCAGAAGTGGGAATTTGGCTCAGCTAACCCAGGTGCCTTGGAGTTGAGGAAGTGAATGGAATAGCACTTCCTAGAGTGTGAGGGGCCTTCCTTGAATCCCCAGACTCGATCCCCCCACCTGCTGTTCCAGGATTTCATGGCACCATATAGTTTTCCTTTTTTTTGTGCTTATCAGTTTGTAATAGAATCATTGTGTGATTGTTTAGTTAGTATCTCCTGCTACCTTGGACTCAGAGAAAGTCCAGAGATGGCATCTTTTTTGTTCACTATTTTATCGATGAATTAGTCCATTTTCTGTCTCTTATAACAGAATACTTGAAACTAAGTAATTTATAAGGAAATTAAGTTTATTTCTTACAGTTTTGGAAGATGGGAAGTCCAAGGTCCAGGGGGCTCATCTGGTGATGGCTTTCTTGGTGGGAACTCTCTGCAGAGTCCTGTGGCCACACGAAGTATCACAGAGAGGGCTGAGCAAGAGCACATTTCCACCGGCTTTCTCCGCTCCTTGTAAAGTCACCAGTCTACTCCCTCATAACCCATTGAACCATTTACCCGTTAATAAATGAATGGGTTAATTCATTCATGAGGGCATAGTCCTCTAGATCCAGTCACCTCTTAAAGGCCCCACCTGTTGAATACCAGATTGAAGATTAAGTTCCAACATGAACTTTGGAGGGGACAAACATTCAAACTATAGCAAACCCCATGCTTAATGTGTTGTCAATGACGTAATGCATAGTTGATATGTATTTGTGCAATACATGAATGAATGGATGAAGCTACAATTCCAGCTTAGTTGCTCTTTCTGTTATGAAGACAGAATCTTCTTTTTTTTTTTTTCCTTTTTTGTCTTTTTTCGTGACCGGCAACGGATCGCAACCCTCAGTGTCGCGCCCGCACCGGACTGGGACCGGCAACGGGATCGCAACCCTCGGTGTTGCGACCGCACCTCGCTCAGCCAGTGAGCGGCCGGTCTGCATGTGGGATCCGAACCCTCGGCGGGAGCGCCACCGCGCTCCCAAGCGGTGCACTGTAGCAGAATCTTCTAATTTGATTAAAGAATGAGCTCTCCAGCAAATGTTGCCTGTGTTTGGGCAAAGTGTCATATTCAGAAAGTCATATAGTTTAGCATTTATTACAATTAAAAAAAAATCAATAAAATGGTGTCTCATGCAAAACAAAGAAGGGAAGACAGCCTGTTTGAAGTGGGGATGAGGAGGTCCTGTACTGTTGGCCTCTGGGCCAGCTTCTCAGGGCCTACCTAATTTACTTTTAAACTGCTTATCCAATGAGATCCCTCTTCCCTCTCTCCCTCTTCTCCCAGATTCAATGAACTATTTTGGTACATTGAGATTTTTTATGTAAATGTACTTTTACCTAATTCCACAGAAGTATCTTTGCCATTCAAGTTATTATATTTCCTCACCATAATATAGTCTCCCTAAGGTAACTTATCTTAAGATACTTAAGATATTTTCATTAGATCTTGATAAGTGCTCTATTTGATTTATTCATTAGTTATTAGTTGTTATACAATGAATTGGAGCCTATATTTTATAGAAAAATGTACTTATTAGTCTATCTATTGCATAATAATTTTGACATTCACTCAGGCACAAAGCTAGCTTAATTCAAGGAGAGCCCTGCAATTTAATGTTAATATTTACAATAACTTGTTTTTCCCTACTAGGTATATGCTAGATAAAAATGACTATGTAAAATGAGGTTTTGAAAAATGGTATCTAGATTCATATAAAGGCTGTGTCTATTGTGATCCAAGTGATGTAAAAAGCATAAGGTATAATTCAGGCAGTCCAGGGCCCTAAATCCCTCTTATTGAGAGAAAAAGCAAGAAGGCTGAAATAAATTATACAAATTAAGTAATATATTTTCCCCAATTCTCTTCATTGTAAGCTTCATTTAGACTTAGAGAAAATAGTTTTTTATTTGTATTTTTTTTTCTTATACTAAAAACAATAATGGAATTCTCCCTGATTTTGACTATCTGATAACTCTGTTGAATTTGGCCATAGCCCATTGGCTGTGGGTCCTGATCCTCGAGTTCTGCTGTGTAGATTGAAGAATAGAAGGAGAAGGGCTTGGCATCCTTGAGTGACCACTCTCTGCCAGACTTTTTTTGTCAGGTGCTTTACCACTCTGACTGCAAAGTCTCTGAATGCCCCATGTCTGGCCGCAGCTCAGTAGGGCCTAGGTGTTTCTGGGGAAGTGGACTGGGGACTGACACATGGCCAGGACCCTGAGGCCAGCTTGTGGATCGCTGCTTGGATAGCTGTGTCTGTCCAAATTACTTAGAGAATTTTAAAAGAAATCAGGGCTCCGTTCTTTGCAATTCTGGCTTAGTGAGTCTCAGCGGGGCATGGGAATCTGTATTTTAAAATATTTCAGAGGAAATATTTAGTGCAGGCAGGGCTGGAAAATACTAATATCATTTATTTCCGAAATCTATTACTACTAAAAGATTTCATTTATTTATTTATTTTTTAAGGCTGGGGTGTAAACTGAGTCAATCCTGAATGCCTCTTTAGGCCCTTAATCTTCTGCTTCAATTGTCTCTATAATTGCTACTTTCCCAATATTAAATGTGAAACTCACAAGCTAAGAAAATATTCAGGCCCCAAATGCTTATGAATCTGTAGAGTTAGTGTTCCCTTCAGACTTTTTTTTTTTTTTAATGAAAAGATGTATATTTTATGTAGTTACTCCTAAGAGAAAAAACAAAACAAAACAAAAAACCAGGAGGAAATTTGCTTGGGCATTCCTCTGTTCATATCACATTTTATTGTAATTGTTCATTGAATTGCCTGACTTGCATTGGATGCTAGTTCTTTTAGGGTAGAGATTTTGTCTTCACCTCTGTGTTCCTACCCAACACAATACCTGAAATATATAATAGGCAGCCAGTGAGTGCTTGCTGAAACATGTATGAATGAATGAGTGAGAAGTTAATAAACTTATGTCAAAGAATAGCCATCTTTTCCACCCTTCCCCTGAAGCTGTACATACAATTGATGATTCTCTTCCCCTTCCACTGATAGGCAAAGGAAAATCCTCTAAAAACAAACCTTGAACTCATTACCAGATACTTTCTTGATCACTTTGAAAATACTGCTAACAGTTTCACTCAAGAAACTACAATCCCTGCACTCTCGGTTCCGAAGAAAAATAACAAATTGCCGTTGAAGTGCTCAGAGACGACGCTGGTAAATATTTATGACCTGTCAGATGAAGATGCAAGATGGAGAACATCATTGTCAGAAACAAGCAAAGCCAGGTATCTCTTCCCATTTACTCTGGGTATTAGTTTCCTATTGCTACTGCTATAACAATTTACTGTAAACTTAGTGGATGTATCAGTCAGTATTCTCCAGAGAGACAGAAACAATAGAATACATGTGAATATAGATATGCATACAAAAAGAGGCTTATTTTAAGGAACTGGCTCATGCAATCATGTAGCTGGCAAGTCTGAAATCTGCGGGCAGGCTGGCAGGCAAGAAACTCAGACAGGATTTCTGTGTTACAGTTTTGAGGAACAATTCTTCCTTGGGAAATCTCAGTTTTATTTTTTATTTTTTTCCTTTTGTTAAGGCTGTTAACTGATAGGATAAGGCCCATCCACATCATTGAGGATAGTCTACTTAAAGTCAACTGATTACAAACGTTAATCGCATTTACAAAATACTTTCACAGTAACATCTAAATTAATATTTGACCAAAGAACTGGGCACCATAGTGTAGCCAGGTTGATGTATAAAATTTAACCCTCACAGTGGCTTAAAGCATTATGAATATACTGTTCTTGCAGTTTTGAAGGTCAGAAGTCCAAAATCAGTCTCAGTGGGCTAAAAACAAAGTGTTTACAGGGCTGATTCCTTCTGGAGGCTCAGAGGGAGAATCTGTTTCCTTGCCTTTTTCTGCTTCTAGAGGCCACCTATGCTTCTTGGCTCGTGGCCCCTTCCATCTTAAAGCACATTGTTCCAGCCTCTGCTTGTATCCTTATGTACTCTAACATTATGACTAACTTTCATCCTCCTGTCTCCTTCTAATAAGGACCCTTGTGATTATATTGGGCCCTACCAGATAATCCAGGATAATCTCCCCATCTCAAGATTCTTAACTTAATCACACCTACAAAGTCCCTTTACCATATAAGGTAACATATTCACAGATTCCAAGGATAAGGACATGGACATATTTGAGGAGGGGTCATTATTCAGCCTCCCACACTCTGTGCTTTCAAACTGTCTGTAGTGGAGCAATGTTATTTTCCTCTGGAGGCCATGAGAATGGACCACTTTATGATGGAGAATACTCATGATTCAAAATGTTTAAATTCCATGATTTGTAAGGCTCAGGGGCTTGCTTTGTTAGATTTTCTTAAAAACAGGGGTATAGTAATGTAAGAGGCAACAAAACACTGTAGAGATGGGAAAATCTGAAATATAAGGTCTTCTGGAAATCTCAGGAAGAAAATGAATTGGTATTCTTGATGAAACCTCTATTATCTGGAGAACAGTTACATTAAATCACAACCTTAATATACTGTGCGGAGTCACCAATAGTGAGTTTGACTTCCTGGGAATGGATATTTTCTTCTGGCTTTATAGAAAAACATTTCCTTTCCTGAGGATAGCTGAAGCTCAGGGCATGGATGTCAAGCTGCCAAAAGGTGGGGAGTATTCAAAATGAGTAAGTCAAGGCTTAAGATGTGAAAGCACGTGAGGGTGGATGAAGAAGACAGCTCCTCCTTTAAAGATCCTTACTGCATGGGTAGGAAATCAAATATTTCAGATACCATTTAAAAAGCAGCAATGATGTGGTTGAAGCTCTGACTCCCACCTAGTTACCCAAGCCGGAAACTTGGATGTTCTCTTCGACTCCTCCTTACCTGTCATTTCCTCCATCTTTGGATCCTGTCAGCTCTTCCTTCTTTCCCTGCCCCAAGGGCAGGGTCTCAACTCACGCTGCTGCCCTGTTTTCCTCGATAATTCTCATGGGCTCTTCCCTGGCCTCCAGACCTCTAGTCATCTTCTCAAATCCACCCTTGACCCAAGAGTGTATAAGTTTCTCACAAAACAAGTCTGGCCATGCCACTGTCCTGTCGAAAGGCCCTCAGAAGCTTCCTGCAGCTTTCAGGATAAAATCCAAACTCCTTAGGATAACATTGAAAGTCTCAAATATAACTAGACCCTCTGCTTACCTGAGTCCCACTTTACAGACCTCTGTGCTCAGGCCTGGGGTTCTCCCTGGGTATCTTCTGCTGTCTTAGTCTGTTTGTATTGCTGTAACCAAATACCACATCTACATAATTTATAAAGAATGAAAATTTATTTCTCATAGTTCTGCAGGCTGGGAAGTCCAAGATCAAGGCACTGGCAGGTTCGGTGTCTGGTGAGGGCTGCTCTCTGCTTCCAAGAAGATACCTTGAGCATTGTGACCTCACATGTGGAAGGGCAAATAGGGGGCCTAACGTACTTTTCGCTAGCCCTTTTACATGGCACTAATCCATTCACAAGGGCTCTCTTAGTCACTTTCCAAAGACCCCACCTCTCAATACCACCACAATGGAGATTAAGTTTCAACATGAATTTTGGAGGGGACACAAACCTTTAAACCATAGCACCTGCCTACTCAGACTCAGGTGTTGCCTCCACGGGAAGCCCTTCTAGGTTTCCCCAGGCTGGTTCCAGTCCCTTCCTCTGCTGACATACCCCCATCACAGCACCCATGACTGCTCCTCTCCTATGTGACCCAGGACTTGGTAAGCAGCTTGGCATAGAGTAGGTGCCAATATCCATTTATGCCAGAGTCCAGTGGCAGAAAATAGCCAAGTCTGTGTCCGAGGAGTGCTGGCTTCTGAGTGGTCACAGGTCGATTCCTCTTTACTTGGGTCCCTTGCTTTGTCTCTTGGGCTCCCCCCATGTTTGTTCTTTCTCACTCCTTGCTTGCTCCCACTGTCTCTCGCCTTCTTCTGCTCTCTTCACATGCTTTTGCTTGTTCTCTCTCTCTCACACACAAACACACTACACAGACACCCCTCAGAAAAGAAGCCATTGGCACACCTGACTCTACCTGAGCAGTTGGGGGATGCCCAGTTTGCCATGTGTCTTACCCAGCACTCTCAGTGGTGTGCAGTAAGGCTGGACCCCACAGGTCAGTGACTGTATGCAAGGGTTAGTTTCCTTAACTACTCTTATCTGGAAAACCAAGGATGCTCTTTAGTTTTAAGGATTTGAGGGATCCAGTCATGGATCATCTGATTTTGTTTGCTTGTTTACTGGTCTTATGTTGTAGGCCAGACTTGCCCTGATACCAAAGTATTTTCTGTTCCTTACCTTTCATGATAAAGCATTGGCTGGTTAGAAATCATCAGGTATTTATTAATGGGCTTACAATGCATGCCCATTGAATGTGGAATTTATTATCATTGTTACTGATTCTTTTTGGGGGGTCTGGTTTTATGGAAATATTCCTTTTTTGCAGACATGACAGTCTTGATGGGGATGTACTTGGTAATTTTGTATCATCCAAAAGTTTCCCGCACAAAAGTAAGCCCATGCAGACGGTCCCTGGGGAAGGCCTCTTCGTGGCTTCTGCGTGGGAGAAGATGGAAAAGCTTCACTCGTTGGAGCCTTCCTTGGATGTGAAGAGGACAGGAGAGAAGACCAGGCCAAAGTCTGGCTTGATTGTGCGAGGCATGATGGCCGGGCCCATCGCCAGTTCCCCACAGGTGGGGCTGCTGCTTTCTCTGTTGTCATTAGACAGTAGAGTGAGGACTGGACCAGGCTAAGGCACTGCCTGGGTTTAATTGCGGGTGTCCCACAGGAATGTCTAAGAAGGGAGGAATCTGTGTACCTCTTTTCTTCCTAGCTCTACTGTCAATGACTTGCAGGGCCTTGAGCAGGCTTCTTCTCCTTCCCTGCCCTCAGTTTATCCATCTTGTCTAAGAGGTGGATGCCATAGTTTTATATTTTTTTGCTGAGTGAGAACGCACCTACCCAGCTTTGTCTTTGCAATTCACGAATGGGGGACCTATTCAAGTCTAGAGAACATCTTAAAAAAATTTTTTAAAACATGATAGTTCAAAGGGAATAGAAACTCTAATCCTTATAGTTTCATTTGTTCTGCTTTTATTTTTTTCTCTTTCAAAAGAAGCAATCTTAAAATTTAACATCATTGTTTTATAGTCTTCCTTAAGGAGGGACCATGGTAGGGTCCTCTTAGGCAGGGAGACTAAACCAAACAAAAGGGCAAATGTGGAAGAAGTTTACGAAACAGCAAAGGGAAAAAAAAGCAAAATCAAAATTCATTTGGAATAGGACACAAAGAAGTGGATTCTCTCTCTGCCTCTGCCTTGATCTTGTGGGATCTTTGGTCAAGGTTTTTATTTCTCTTGGTGTGGTCTCTTGCTAGACCAGTTGCGTGAGGCCCCTTTAGGCTCTGAGACTTCGGTGGTCTCGTGTCACACAGTTTTGGTGCCCAGATCAAGGAAGAGGGAACCTGCTCCCCTCTGTGGCTCAGGCCATGTCCCATTCTGGGTGTCTTGTCCTTGAAGAAGGACATTCATAAAACTAGAACCATATCCAGAGGAAAGGGACCAGGAAGGTGAAGAGTTTAGATGAAATGAAAAGATTTGAAGTTTAATCTTGTGAGGAGGAGTCTTGTGGGAGGTTGGCGGGATGGAAGAGATCTCTTCAAATATGGAGGTAGGAATGGCCTGCATCCATGTGAGATGAGCCCTGTTAGCCATCTCGAGCGTAGCCTGTAAGCCTCCGAGAGCAGGGACTCTGTCATGCTTGTGTATCGCGCATGCTGTGTGCCTGCTGGTCTTTGTTGATTGAGTGGTGTAGCCCTGCCTGGTGGCTCGAGGTAGCGCAGCTGGTACAGTGGCAGAGGGTGGGATGAGGAGCTTTTGGTCAGTCAGAGCTGCCTTGGCAGTGGGACAGGTTGTTTTGCAAGGGACTAGACTAGTTTTGTCAAGAAGCAACTAGATCCCCAATCTGCTGCAGATGCTGTAGAAGGGGCCCTGTCTGATTGAGAGTGTAGACTATATTAGCAGTTCCTCAGACTTTTTAGTCTCAGGGTTTCTTTATATTCTTAAAATTATTGAAGAGCCCAAAGAGCTTTTGTTTATATGGGTTGTGTCTATTGACCTTAACTGTATTAGAAATTAAAACTGAGAAATTAAAAAATATTTACTTACTGAATCATTAAAAATAATAGTACTGGGCCGACCCCGTGGCTCACTCGGGAGAGTGCAGCGCTGGCAGCGCAGCAGCGCTCCCGCTGCGCTCACTGGCTGAGCGCAGTGCTGGGTGACACCAAGCCAAGGGTTGTGATCCCCTTACCGGTCACAAAAAAGAAAAAAAATAATAATAGTACTAATGCAACATATTTTTAATGCAACATTTTTTAATGAAAAAAAACCACTATATTTTCCAAAAACAAAAAATTCATGAGATTAATAGCATTGTTTTACGATTTTTTTTTGCAAATCTCTCTAACATCTGGCTTAGTAGAAGACAGTTTGAATCTCACATTGGCTTCTGCATTGAGCCTGTTGCAATATGGTGGTTCGGTTGAAGTGTATGAAGAAAATCTGGCCTCGCCCGGATAAGCAGTTGGAAAAGAGAAAAGTATTTTAATAGCCTTTTCAGAAAACAGTAGGTTCTTTGATACTGTGACAAAACTAGACAAGTTGTTTCTTAATGTGGCATCAAACCATATCAATGAACTTTTTGTATTTTAGCAATTCCCATTGGTCTGTCTTGCACTTTAAATCTTTCACCCCTGCATGATTTAGTAACATGACGCATTGATCATTTGGAAAATATTGGTTACTGAGTTATACAGATCTTCCAAATGTGAACACATTTCATCACACAAAAAAAACACACCAAAAAATCACATTTGTTGATATTACCACCCAACGCATCAGAAAAGTTTTTAAATATTTTGAAGACCTTGAGCTTACAGTGGCAGATACAAGTGTTCCAAAATTCTTACTTTTACCTGACAGCTTATGTTTTATCACTGACCACAATATACCATTTGCTTGCCTTGAAGTGACAGCCTCAGTTTATTTTCAGGAAAATGCCTGCCAAATACGCAAGTCTGAATAACCATAGCTTGTCTGTCTGTAGTTCCATGAAAACCCAGCAGGCTCACCCACAACTTGCCCGGTCGTGGAAGAGCTAACCGCGATTCCCCAAATGCAGCAGAGTGCTGTGTGTACCTCCCATTTTGTCACACAGAATATTGAAGAGATGTGTGCTGTAGGGACTAGATTGGATAAAATTAATAATTTTTATGCTTCAACATGGACATTCTCAAGTAAAATTAGCATTTTATTTATTTACATTATTGCAAGTACATGGCGGTGAAGAATACCTTGAATGCTAGTAACGTTTGGTGTGACTGCCTTGAGTCATGCTCAGGGCCAGCAGCTTTCCCTACTGTTGCTTTGTATGCAAAGTGAAGACAGTGAAAAAGGCAAATTGTGTGATATTATTACTATGGAAATAGTTCTGAGATCCCTAAAAGGGTCTGGGAACCTCTAGAGGTCAGCAGACCACACTTTGAGAACTGGTGTACCAGATGAATGCCAGGGTCCTGTCCTACCGTGACATTTTAATCATTAAGTGCATGCAGTTGAGATCCCTCCATAACTGTGATGTGAGAGGAATGACTTGGACCTGCTTTACTGCCCAGCTCATTGCTGCAAACTTCTCTTTTTGGTACTTGTTTTGGCAGGTGAGGTTTTCCCCTGGGGTATTTGAATGCTGTGAAGGACACTGAAGGATGGGTTGTTGTAGAATTTCACCAGATTTTCTGGAAGGTGTTTGTACCTTGGCCATACTTATTGGTTGCTCAAGAGAAAAGAGCCAAGGATTGCTAGGTATTTCATCATTTTTTCCTACTAGATTAGCTTTGCACTTAAGGATGGGGTAAGAGGCTGGGCTCCCTGCAGCAGCTCCAGCTCCCCTAAGCCAGAAGTTTGGGTCTCCTTGGGAACGGTGATTAATGTCTTCCTTACTCTGTGTGGAGGATGCCCTGCATGGCTTTTAGAGGAGGTTTATAGTGCCTTAGTAATTTCCACTAGGCTAGAACACTACAGAATTAGCTTTCTTTATTTCAGCCCAAGCTTTACCATCTGGCCCTGGATTCTTTCTGGAAATGCTGAGAGGTCCAGAAATCTAAACCAAAGCAAAACGTAGTTGATCTGTTTTTTGCTCCTCCACCCTCCCTCCCTGCCCACTGATTAGTAACAACATGAGTTCCCAATTCATCAGATAATCACTGATAGTAAGAGAGGACAATTCAGTTGACTTCTTTGGAATTGCTTCATTTCGAAAACTAAGCAAATCTTCAGTGCTTAATTAGGTACAAGCTACTGAGCTGGGAGTTCTGTGGACACCATAGATGAGTGAGGAGTGGCCTCTGCCCTTCCTGGTCTACCGTCAGGACAAGGTTAGGACTGTCCATAAGTGGGGATGGGGCAAGCAAGTGTTGGAGTGGTGACATTTGCTGACTGCTGTCTCTGTGCTAGTGCCTTACACCTATCGCACTTAATCCTTACCCCGATCTTGTGGAGATAAGCACTACAGGTCCCCTTGTCCCTTGTCCAAAGCCTTTGGGCCACTTGTGTTTTGGACTTACAACTTTTTTCTTTTCTTTTTTGTTTTTTTAATTTCAGACAGGAAGTACAGTGCATAAACTACAAACCACATAACACAGGTGGTAGGAGCACCCTGTAAGCAAAAAAGCATTAACATTTCTGCCACTAAACATAAGAATATTCACACTTTAAAAAGACTATAAGCAAACTCCCAGCAATTAAGAATCTGCTACAGGATTTCAGAAGAAACTTTCACTTTCAGAGGTTTTGGGATTTAGAAATGAGAGGTAATGGATTGTGGACTGGTTATATCACAGGTGGGAAAGTGAGGGACAGAGAAGTTAAAAAACTTGCCATGGGTGACACAGCTGGTAGGTGGTGATGGGGAATTAAAAACCGGAGTGACAGCTTTACCTGCTACTTGAGCCTGCTCTCTGTGAGGGGTGTGAGAGAAAGGCCCAGGTGCTCTGGGCGTTCGTGTGGGCAGGCTGTGTACCTGTGACAGCATCACAGATGCGGGAGCACTTGAGTAGCACCTCAAAGAGTAGGTTGGCAGGACATTCCTGGGGGAGGGGACAACATGGGCAAATGCTTGAAGTGGGATGAAGCATCTTTCCGGCTCCTCTTGAAGGGGTTCCTCACTGCTGTGTCCTTGCCCCTTTCAGGATTCTTCCTGCAAGCGCTCTCTGAGGCGGTCCCCAGCCCTGAGCAGCACCACCCAAGCCCAGGATGAGGACAGCCGGAAGGGGCCCGAGCTCCCTGCACATACCCCAGCCTGTCCAGCCCCACAGCAGGGTCTGGCTTTGAGCGATGGCTCCACCACCAGGAACCCCCTGGGCCAGCTTAACGAACTGACCATGGAAATGCATAAAACCACTCCAGGCAGCACTCCCCACCTGGCCAGTAAATGGCTGCCCCAGCATGATAGGGCCAGGTGGCAAGATCTTTCAGAGGACTGCCCAGCAGTGGATGGCAGCACAGATGTGGACAGGATGCCCTTCAAATTCTACTTGCCTGGTGGGAATTCCAGGATGTCCCAGCAGAGGCTGGAAAGAGCGTTCAAACGGCAGGGTAGCCAGCCCCCACCTCTCAGGTGAGCATGCTGTGCCAAAGGGCAGCTTTTCAAAAGAAGTGCCACCTCTCACTGTGTCTGGGCATAATGGCTTCCAAGCCCTTCTAGGGCTCCAGGGTCTCTCACATCAAACCTGTGAAGTAGGAAAGACAGGTTGATTCTGGTCGATCAGGAAGAGAACTGAGCCCAGAGCTGCAGGAGAGTTTCCCTCGGCCCTGCTCCCTTCTTCCCAAAGTTGCAGAAGACTTTAGCAGATGGCCCTAAATGCACCTGCAGCAGCCTGGCCAGGCTGACATGGATATGAGATGTTTCCTGTGGGAGGCCAGAGTTTCGACAATGAATCAGCTCCCACAAGGAGCTGTTTTTATTTTAGGCATTGTTTTTATTTTATTTCATTTTACCCTGTCCTTACTTTTATTCTTTCATGATAGGCCTTGATGATTCCTATACTGATTGATTTTTGAGTGATAAACCAACCTTACATTCCTGGAATAAACCCCACTTTGCTATGATATATTTCTTTTTATGTATCATTGGATTTGATTTATTAATATTTTGTGTAGGGTTTCTGTGTCTAAGTTCATGAAGGAGATTGGCCAGCAAATTTCCTCTCTTGCTACAGCCTTGTTAGGTTCTGGTACCTAGGTTATGCTAGAAGTGGTCCCTGTTTTTCTATTCTCTTGAAGAGTTAGTGTAAGATTGGTTTTATTTCTTCCTTAAATATGTGGAAGAATTTACTGGAAAAGACTACTGAGAATTGAGTTGAAAGGTTTTAAATTATGTATTCAATTAAAAAATTGTTTAATTCAAATTTTCTATGTCTTTTGTTGGTTTGGGCAAGTTGTATTTTTTTGAAGGAATTTGACAATTTTATCTATATTTTAAATTTATTGGCATAAAATTGTATAATTACAATATCCTGTTACTATCATTTTAAAGTTTGTAAGATCTACAGTGATGTCTCAGTTTTACTCCTGATATTGGTAATTTGTTTTCTCTTTCTCTCTGTCTCTCAACTAGTCTTACTAGGGGTTTATCAATTGTATAATATTTTGAAGAACCAACTTTTGGCTTTATGTGTTTGTTTTCTATTTCATTGATTTCTGCTCTTATTTTTATTCTGTCCTTCATTCTTCTTTCTTTGCTATTATTTCCAGTTTATTGATATGGATCTTAAATAACTGATTCTCAACTTTCTTTTGTAATGATCTTTTAAGGCTACAAATTTTCCTCTAACTTATGCTTTGTCTGTTTTCTACAAGTTACTATGTTATGTATTCATATAATTTAGTTAAAATCTTTTCTAATTCCCATTGTCATTTCTTCTTTGATCCATGTGTTATTTAGACATATGTTGACAAATTCGAAACATTTGGGGGTGTTTTTCTGGTTATTTTGTTTTTGATTTCTAGCTTATATTCTACTCTGATGACATATGTACTATTAATGATTTCAATCCTTTGATGTTTGTTGAGATTTCCTTATGGTCCAGCATATATTTAAACCTCATCTCTTATAAGCAGAACAAATGTATTTGGAAATTTTAACCCAGTCTGATAATTTATTTTAGTTGGAATAATTATTGCATTTACATTTTCCTTCTGCCTGAAAAACTTCTGTAGTATTTCTTTAGCAGATGTCTTAAATTTTTTTTTCCAGTTTTTGTTTGGAAATGTCTTTATTTTGCCTTTATTTTTGAAGGTATTTTTAATGGATATAGAATTCTAGAATGGTAGTTTATTTTCTCAGTACTTTAATTATGTCACTCCATTGCCTTAGGCTTTCATCATTTCTGTTGATAAGTCAGTTGACAGTTTTATTGTTGTTTCTTTGAAGGTAATGTGTCTTTTAAAAAAAAGAACTCTGGCTTCTCCCCCTACCTCCCAACTTCTTTTAAGATTTTTTTCTTTCTTTTTAAAAAAAAATTTTGTTCCCTGATCATGCTATTTATTTATTTTTATTGAAATATAATTGATTATACATATTTATGTGGTAGAGAGTTGACTATCAGTATTTATGTACAATATGTGATGATTGAATCAGTATTATTAGTGTGTTCATCATTATAAAACGTAATTATTCTTTGTATCCATTACCCAGTTCCTCTCTTCCCTTCCCCCTTATTTATTTTTGAATTGACACTGTATTTAGTATACATATTTATGGGGTACAGAGTTATATTTCAATACATCTATACAATGTGAGATGATCATGATTTTTTCTTTCTTTGATTTCCAATGGTTTGACTATGATGTGCCTAAATGTGGTTTCCTTTGATGATTCTGCTTGGGATACATAAAATACCTTTCATCAGTTCTGAAAATTATTGTCTATTCACTTTTTAAATACTGCTCTCATCCCATTCTCTCTTTTCTGTCTTGGGACTCCAGTTACACATGTAATAGATCTTTTAACTGTATTTATGTTCTATAGCTTTTTAAAATATTTTTTCCTATTTTTTATGTCTTTCTTTCTCTGTACTTCCATCTGGGTATTTTCTCTTTGTCTTCTAATTCATGTTTCTTCTCTTTTATCATGTCTAATATACTATTTAATTTACCTAATAAATTCTTAATTTTAGTTATTTGAGTTTTCCATTTTAGAATTTCTATTTCCTTTTTAAAATAGATCTTAGTTGTTTTTAGAATTCTCAATCTTTTCCCTTATTTTCTTGAGCATATTATTCATCAGCATTTTAAAGTCCCCATCTAGCAACTCTGATATCTAGATCACCTGTGGGTCTGTTGCTATTGCCTATTTTTCACTTCTTTGATCATTTTATCCTATTTCTTTGCATTTCTGGTAATTTTGATTGAATCCTAGACATCTTGTATGAATAATTGTATAGGCTCTGGTTAATGTTATCTTCCTCCAAAGAGGATTTAATTTCCTCTCGGTAGATATGACTCTCTTACTAGTTTAGACTTTGTAAAATATCGTTCTGTTATTTGTCTAATAACTTTGTTCATTATGTCCTTCACTGAACAGAATTGCTTAATTTTGGCATAATCAATCTCATGTTTGCCACATGATTTACATTTTTAAAGTTTTAAGTTTTTTCTTGCTTTTGGGTTTCAGTGATATCCTCCTATGTTTTTTCTATTAACTTTATAGTCTTAGCTTTCACATTTAGGTGTTAAGTCTTTTGCATTTGTTGGGATGAAATGATCCACTTTCATTTTTCTCTGTTTAGTAAGACAGTTATCCCAGTACTAACTACTCTGCATTCTCTTCTTTCCCATTGGTTCGTGAAGCCACCTTAACTCTTTACAAAGTTCTCATGTAGACATGGGTTTTGACTCTTGAGCTCTCTATTCTGTTTCATTGATCTTTTTGTTGATTTCTTTATTTAGTTTTTTTTCCCCTAAAACCACATGACCATACTTTTGATTATTAAGGACTTCTAGTTGTAGCTTAGTATTTTGGTAGGGCCAGTCCTTCTCCCCCGTACTTTTAGGGTTGGCATAGCTACATACAGGTCTTTATAATTTTTATAGGCTTTTTTTTCCTGTTTGCCCAGCGTGTCTAACTCGTTCCTGCATGTGGGAGAACTGGCTTGTTCTCTTGTTGCAAGGCTGCTCCCAAATCATCTCATGACTGTCTCTTTCTTGTTAATCAGGTGTTCTGTACTCAGAGTGGTTTTCTTTGACTAACTTCATCTCCGCCCCTTCATCTCCACCCTGTTTTATTGTTTTTACAGTATGTATCGTAACCTGAAATTATTTAACTTATTTATAGTGGTCCCCCCTTATCCTTGGGGGATATGTTCTAAGACCCCCAGTGGATGCCTGAAACCATGGATAGTACTGAATCTGTATGTATATAGTGTGCTCTTTCCTATATATACATACCTATAATAAAATTTAATTTATAAATTAGGCACAGTAAGAGACTAACAACAATAACTAATAATGAAATAGAATAACTGTAACTATATACTATAATAAAAGTTATGTGAATGTGGTCTCTCTTCCTCTCTCTCAAAATACCTTATTATACTGGATTCACCTTTTTCTTGTGTTAAAGAAGGGATGGAACAGGACAGTGTGAGATTTCATCGTGCTACTCAGAATGGCACCTAATTTAAAACTAACAAATTGTTTATTTCTGGAATTTTTCATTTAATATTTTCAGACTGCAGTTGACTGCAAGTAATAGAAACTGGAAAGCGAAACTGCAGATAAGAGGGAACTACTGTACGTATTTGTTACTTGTCTCCTCTGTAATAGATTACAAGTTTCATAAGCACAGGGGCCTTTATATTCCCTGCACCTAGAATAGTACCTGGTACACTGAAGACACTCAATGAATATTTGTTTAATACTACTACTACTAGCAACAATAGCAATAAGAATATCAAAACTTTTTATATTGGCGTTTAGGGAAAGTTACATTCTTTTTTTTTTGAAAGTTACGTTCTTAATTCTCATAAAAAGTTCTATGAGGGAAGTACTGTTAAACCCCCATTTTACAGATGAGAAAACTCACTCAGAGAAGTTACTTTATTTGCCCAAGTTTATACACCTAGGATGAGGCAGAGCAGGGATTTGAACCCAGGAAACAAGCTTGAGTCTAGTGAGTGCATGGATGAATGTTGTCACCTCTCTCCCCGGGTGAAGAACTTTTCCACAGCCTTGAGATGGTGACTGGTTTCAGCTGGAACACCTGCAGCACTGGGGAGCTCCATGTTTCTTGCAGCACTTTTGCATGATCCTGTTAGAAAGTCTTCTTGCTGAGTTAAAATCTGCTTGCCTGTAGTTTCACTCAGAGGGCCTTATCTTGCCCCCTCAGTGCCAGAACAAGTTTGCACTGGAAAAGAGAAAAATACCCACTGCAGATGGGTGAGAGCATTCCCAGACTGTGTAGTGACCTGGGACAAACGGACAGAGAAGTGGCTATAGCAGGAGCAGGAGGCCTGGGTCTTCCATCCTCACTCTCCACACATCCTGGTAGACCCCCTGGGGTGGGTCATTTTCTCTCTGGGCTTCAGTGTCCCTGACTGTAAAATCTGGCCACTGGGT